CAGCAGGTTGTATTTATGTACACCTATGTGTGTGTTACTATTACAATAGTAATTAAGAAGAACTTGTGAAGTTAAGAGGAAGTGAAAAAGATACAGGAGGATTGGAGGGGAGATTATGGGATGGAAATGATGTAAATATTTTGCACATGTGTGACAGTCAAAAAATAGTAAAAAAAATGCAAGAGGGTAAAATAAATGGTGTTTGTTTGTTTGCTTATTTATTTGTTTTTTTTAACTCAGAGGCATTAGCTCTGGAACGAATTTATACCAGTTCCTGGATTAGTTCAGAGCAGAAACAAAAAGTATTTGTTTCCATTCTGGTTTACTCACCCATGCCTCCATCAGTGGTCAAAATTAGGGTGCTCAAGTCTAAGCCCTAGAGTGATAGAGAAAGACAGGTCTTCATGGATGTATCAATGTCACTTTCCAGCACCCTACCACATCTACAGGAACTCTGCTCTGCCAAGGGCCTCCCAGCAGTTTATATCTGTTCCAATTCCAACTCCCAGAGCTTAAACAATAACCACAGAGGTATCTTACTGACTCATGTAATAAGGCAAGTTCAGTTGTTCCTGGCATGGCTTGATCTAAAAAGGAGTGTCTCCCATCATCTCTGGCTAGACTTAACTCTCTTCTGAAATGTCCCTTTCCCAAGGTATGTTCTCTCCATTTGGTGCCAAAAGCAGCCATTGACAACTCTAAGCGTATTTATTGACATTTGAAATCTTGAGGGCAGATACAGGTCTTGCCTGGTGATTCCAGCAGAAGTCTTTAGGAAGGTTTGACTTCCTAAATGGACATTTAAGTCAATGTACATTCCTAGGTCAGTCATTAAGATGAGGAGAACTGTGAGCCTGAACTCATCCTACCTCAGTCTCAAGGTCACTTCTAGAGCCTGCCTAAAAGTAGCAGTGGGGTGGACTAAGAAGTGCAGGTGTTCTCCAAAGAAAGGAAAAGAGGTGCATTTGATGAGCAGATGCAGGGCGTATCCTGATGGGTCGTTTGAGGAATGACTTGTAATTGTTGTAATTGATGGAAGTGGGACTATTTCTGCCAAAGGGCATCCTCAAAAACATGGCACTCATGTTCCCTGCTGTGAGGGCTCAGTATCACTCTCAGTTTGAGCTAAATCCAGCCCTGAGGAAACTGGGCTGTGTCAGTCAGGACTGAGTGAGATCTGCTGGTTAGTTCTCTTTCCCAGATGGCAGATGCATGCTGAACCACTCCCAAAACTAAATCTTAAGCTGGTAAATGAGAAACAGAAAACCTAAGCATGTATCCTTCATCTCTAGTTCCAGAAACATCAGGATGGAGTAGCATTAAGATGTATAGCACCTGACAATGAGACCCTCCTTTAGGACAAATGAACACATTCAAGAGTTTCAAACATGATAGGAATTGTAAGTGGACTCTTGTGGTTCTGTGATTAGAATGATAAGACTTTCTTAACATCAAAAGTGAAGAACCTTTTACAGCTGGAGTGGCGAATGTTATGGATATTCATAGTTGTATCAGAATTAATTGTTAGTTTTTAAAGAGCTACTTTCAGAGCACAAGAAAAAAAGAAAGAAAAAGAAAGAAAAATCACATCTGCCTTTGCCTTCCCTGGCCCTGGCCCGTGGGCACAGGGGATAAGGTCAAAGGCATATTTCAGAACTGCAGACATCTCCCTCTTGCTTGAGTTTCCAAAATAGTTCTCAAGTTTCTTCAAAGGTCTGTTTCACAAACCACAGCTAAACTGTAATGAGAAAAGGCTGAAAGAAAAGCCCTAACCCAGGGACTTCAGGTGGCTCTGAAGAAGTATGTTAATGACAAAGTTGACATCAACATCTGTTAGCACCTTTCATAATGCCCCCTGGAAAATCCACTTAACTCTTGCCATCTGACAGAAAAGGATTCTCCAGGTCCAGCAACTGATAGATGCCCTCCATCTAAGCCGCAGAGTCCTCTGACGGAGTAAAACCCAAGCAAAATACGCCCGAGTGAAGCTCTTCACTTTGCCTTGTCCTGCCCTGAGGGAAATGATGACTTAATCTACACAGGCTAAATCTTCAGTAGACTGAAGCATGGATAAGGGCCTCGGGTCAATCCAGGACAAGAAAAGTGACATCTGTTAGTGTTCGGGAATGGTGCATTCCTGGGCACTTTTACAAACAATGCCACCATTGAAATAGGGCTGCTGCCTTTTTCCCTCCAGATATAAACATTATGCTTCAAACCTTAATAATAGGAACCAAAGCTCCTGCCGCACTTCACACGGCCATGTGTCCACTCCTTTTGTTTGCTATGGAGAGACCCGTTGAGGTACGCGTGTCCTTACAGAGACAGTGTCCTATGAGGGATTACAAGGTACATGTGTTAACTTGCGGATGGGATAGCTGGTGGGTGAACATTATGTATTTGTAAACCCAGTGAGCCTGGCTGGACCATTATTTTCACTTGGCTGACTCCTTCTACACAGTGAAATCCAAGCAATCCAACAGTATGTAAATATTTTTCTTTTACCCATAGTAAAAGATATATCTGTGAGTATCTCTGCAAAAAAAAAAAAAAAAAAAAAAAAAAAAAAGCTACACAGAGGATATCATGGAAGATTACAGAGGCGGTGTGTGTTTCTTCACACCCCTCGGCTTGCTCCCGCAGCTCACATGCACGGAGTGTTGATATATGCTAGAGTATATACTAGGACTCAGAATACATAAAGGAAGTTCAAGATGAGAAAAAGTGCATGAGCAGAAGATAAACAGACAGGTATCCCCCTAACAATTGAAAGGAGGGGGATTAGAAAAGAAAGGGAGGCAAAATTCACCGGGCAAAGGGCGGCTTCTTAGGGAAGGGTCACTGGGTAGGTAACCTTTGACCTCTGAGAGTCAAGCAGGAAGGCACCAGGTGGAAAGCGGTGTTGAGTGGAGAGACAGAACAAAGAACGGGGAGCACATTCCAGGCTGAAGAGGACGAGTGGGCTCCATCTCAAATCCCGGCTCTAATTGATTGGGAGTGGTGCTCTAAGTGTGGCGACGACAAGGGCTGTGAATGCAGCCGAGAGCTTCAGCATCCCACGCCATCAGCTGGGCTGGGATTCATTCGGTCCACCTTGATCTGGCTCCGGCCTCGGTGCGTAGGTCATCTTCATGCTGGCAGCTCCCTGTTTCGTGCCCATGCAGCTTTCTGCTTCTCGACAGAGATTTGGGTTCTGTAGAAACCCAAGGGCAAGGCGGCCAGCACGTATAGAGGATTCCAGGACACCACAGAAATTCAATCAATGGTAAGTGGGAGACAGTGAGCCAAGACACAGTTTCCCCTTCCCATGATAAGATGGTCCTCATGTTCATACTAAGCAAACTCCAATGCATTGCCAGGGGAATGGGCCCAGTTCTCCACAGCACAGCTAACTCCCTAGCATGCCCTTTACTGAGCTCTCCCGTCCCTGACTCTTGCGCCTCCCTCCCTCCCTCCCTCCCTCCCTCCCTCCCTCCTTCCCTCTCTCTCTCCCCCCTCCCTTACTGAAGGCTCCTTGGATCACCTTTCAAATATTTCACAACAGTCATGTATTGCTGTTATCCAAAGGTACCTTTAAAAAAAGCACATACTGCCTCCTGTAGTCCCTAAAGTCAGGAAACACACAGATGCTGCATTCCAAGGTCTGTCAGAGCCTCTCAGAATGTCAGAAGGTTCTGGTCAACTGAAGGCATGCTGGACTTGGTGGCTCCAAGATGGCTCCCTCTGATGACTACTAAGCTGGAGCTGTTACTGTCAGCAGTCCCTACCATGTGGGCTTCTCTTTGAGACTGTGCGAGAGTCCTCATGACGACGTGGCCTTCGCTTCTTCTAGAGGAAGTAACCCAAGACCACAAAGCAATAGTCAAAATGGATATTAAGACATAGCTTCAGAAGCATACCTTTTCCAAGTTTTCAAAAAGCTAGCCTCACGCAAAGTAAGGAGAAATAACAGCAGGCTGGGGGAACACATGGGAGGCTGGGATCCCTGGAGAACACCTTAGAGGAAGGCTAGCACACTTTACCTGTGGGTTTCGCAGGAATCTTAGTCCTGTCCCATTATTGATTGACATGACAGTACTCAGAGGCCTCCATGCAGTCTGGGTATCTCGCACCCAGATAAACCAGTGTTCAGCCTCCTAAACTCCCTGAGGTCAAGTAGATTCTGATCCAGATCTCAAACTGTATTTCCATTTCAGGGTTAATTCTCCTAAAATGGAGACAAACTCAATTTCCCAGCCATTTGGTTTCCTTCTGAGGACTCTCCCATTGGGCAGAAATGGGACAGTATCTTTTCATCTTATTTAGAAATCTCTTCAGATCTTTTCTTTGTTTCTGACAGTGCTCAGTTACCTCGGTCACCAACATATGTACAAAACTCTAAAACTATGGTTCCTTTTCACTGGTAATGTATATATATTCTTTAGCAAAAGCTTAGTCACTGGGAGACATCTGGAGACAACCAGATGTTGTTACTCTTCAAGATTACTATGTTCATATCCACATAGGAATTTTACTTTTTAAATCAGATATAAGCAAAGAAGTCCTAGCCCCAGATTCTTTAAGATGTAAGAATGATACCAGATAATTCAGTTTGCAGATGACTGTTCAAAGCCTCCCTCTTTGTCCTGTTGAGATAAATCAAAGATAAATATAATATATTCAATGTCTGTATATCTTATATAGCCCAAAGAGATTCACCAGGGAAGAAGACTTATGGTTGATTTATTGCTCAGCTTCCTCCTGAAATGACTTGTCAGTCTATCAATGAGCAATATACATCATTTGTTCTCAGGGAACATTTAAATTACAATCCACTTTTACAATTATATTTCATCATGTGTGCCACATTGCTTATATCCCCTTCATATAAGAATGTAATACTTAAGTCAGTAAGCAAATAGTAAAATATAAATGTGCATATGAATATGTAAATTAGAAGTTCAAACTTAAGACTTCATATGTATTCTCTTCCTTTTAACGCATCTTGTTATTTCTAACAGCAGTGGAAATCAGCTCATCTGGACTGTCTTCCGTAATATATTCCCCTCAAGTCAAAGGTATGGAAATATGTTAACATTACTAGCAAAATCAAATGTAAACATTAAGTAAAGATGTTTGCCTGAAAAGAAATAGACCAAGCCAGCTGCAACAAAAATATGTGGCTGACCACTTGAGACCTAAAACATTTCAGTTGCCAAAAGGCTCAATCCTCGAGTTGCTCAGCATCTTTTATTGACACTAAGCTAGGAGTTTGATGTTCTTTTTCCAGTAGTCACTAACTCCCTTTTAAGACGCTCTCCAAAGTAAGTAAGGGATTGCTTAGACTCTAGGTGCTTTATTTAGGATGCCAGGGAGACAGATTTTAATTAATTTAATCACAGTGAGATTTCACAATCTAAAATAATTAGCAGTACTTGGCAGATGAGCCCTTATCTGTTGCAGGTAATCAGTAGAGAGTGCCAGGCTGGATAGCTAAGGATCTGAGGAGGGCCTTTTACTGCTGTTGATGAAGTACAAAGTGTGCAGGCCTGTGTTGATCTGCCATACTTCTGCAGCTCTGTCTCTGCCAGGCCACGTTCTGCAAATAATACCAAAACATTGTGGCTGTACTTAGGAGGGAATCCTATCTCCAGATGGTGTTTGGGAAGAAACCTGTTTGGCTGATGCAGCCTGTTCCAGTGATGTGCAGTGATTATGTCTTATGTAATATGTTTGCTGGATCACAAAATGGCTTGGCTCTTTTTAAAATGTAAGTTAGAAAAATATTGATTTTTGCTGAGTCATCCTTCTACAACAATCCTGAGAGCATTGCTTGGGAACAAGTGGGAAATGCTTTTATCTTTTCCCATTGAAGAATCTTTTTAGAGCATACAATTCAGTGACTTAGTGCATTCACAAAGTTGTACAGCCATCACCATCAATTCTAGAATGTATGTGTGTGTGTGTTGTGTGTGTGTGTGTGTGTGTGTGTGTGTGTGTGTGTGTGTGTGGACATGGGTGAGCATGCCTATACATATGTGTACAGTACAGAGGCCAGAAAGGACACTCTCCATCTTAATTCTCTTGAGACAAGATTTCTCACTAAGTTCAAAGCTAGGCTGGTAGCCAGCAAGTCCGGATGGTTCTCTAGCTTCCACCCTCACAGCATTGGAGTTGCATTGTGCATGCAGCCAAGTCCAGCTTTTTTCAGGTCCTCATGCTTGCATAAATGCTCTTACTCAATAGTCCGTCCTTCTGTCACACCTACAAGGCAGGGCAGAGAGAGGACCCAGAAGACCCAGATTGCCCAAGTTGTCTGGGGGGGGTCCCCATAAGACCCCTTTAGCCAACCACTCAATTAGATTTAACCCATTCCCAGTATTGGACACTTCATTTCATGGTTAGAGATATCCAGCTGGCTTTCCATCTCCCTGTTACTTAGCAACTTCATTTAGATAGTCTTCATGTATGTATAGATTTTAAGCAGTAGATCTACTGTATTAGATTTCCACATGACCTCTCAAATGGCCCTTCATTTTACTTGTCCCTCCTTGCATTCCCTCCCCTGCCTTCCTCTTATTCTCCCATCCACATTTGATCCTCCTCTTCCAGACCCCCCCATACACACAATTTTTATGTTAAATTTGTGTCTAAAAATTGTATTCTCCTTGGTACTTTTTCTACATTTAATGACTTTCTTAGTTTCATTTTCAATGCATGTACAACAATTGAGTATGTATATTGATCTTCTATCCTACAACATAGTTGAACTTATTTATTAACTGTATTACTTACTTTCATACCACTGTGACCACAAAGCCTGACAGAAACAAGAAAGAAAAGATTTCTTTGGACTCACACTTTCAAATATCCTCAGTGAATGACAAAGCAGATCAGTTCATGGCTGTGGCATGCATTGTATACAGTGATCACAGATTGACAACAGGTGTCCTCCTGGATACTCTCCACTGAGTCTCACTGAGCCTGGAGCTGGCTGGTTTTCTGCAGTCTAGCTAACCCATGATACCAGGGATCCATTGTCTCTGCTTCCCATCGGCTATATTATAGTCCCAAGCCTACCTGGCTTTTACATATGAACTCTGGACATCATACTCATATGCCAAACATCTCATCCTCTGGCCAACTCCACAGCCCCACAAAAGGTGACTTTTGTTTTGGTCATTCTCATTTCTTCTCTAGAAGACTGGATTCTTAGAAATCTTTAGTTTGTCATTAGAGGGACTGGTCCAGGGCCTTCTTTCTGACATTCCTACTCCAGGATTCTGAATAATCAGATTCAAAGATGAGACAGGAAGCAGAAGAAAATTCACTTTACAGGAAATGGGCAGGTGAAAACATTCTCAATTCCAAAAGAATTGATGCTTTGGACATCTATTTCTGGTTGAAATCACAACTTGGTACTGTCATTGTCCTTTTCCTTGGCTTGCTAGTATGCACCGGATGGTTTTGGAAATGGGAATTCCACTGTGTTACACACGTGACTTCAAATCTATGTATGTCTTCATGCTGTGCATGGCAAGAGTGAACAGAAAAGATCCCCCTATGTTTGTTAGTTTTCCATGTCCAAAGAATGTATCAGTAGATATGCTACCAAAGGGAGGCATATGGTGGCAGCTTCCATAGAGGAAGCAAAGCAATGAGAAAAACCAAACTCCTTCAGACTCATCCAAAAATCCCCACCCCTTTGGAATGATACCACCATCATACACACACATTTTATATATTTATACTTAACACAACTATAAAATTACAGTCTGGACTTTTTTTTATAGACATCAAGGTTTTTTTGTCATTGTTAGTATAGACCTCAATGCACAACTTTCAACGTTATGTGGAACATAAACATTTATGGAAAGCGCTGTATGAAATAACAACATTTCAACATAATTATATTTCACCATGCACTACACAGCAGCTGATCACCCCTGAGAAAATCCATCCTTATAATTTCCAAATCTGATTGCTAATATTAGTAGAAAATTTCAGAAAATACTCCTTCTGGGTATGACCAAAGAATAGCACTTGATCTTTCTGTATCAGAGATCGAGTACTGGTACAGTGTGCCTTTGTTTTTGATTCAGCTAATGACTGGATGTTATTTGAATGGCCTACCTAAGTCAGGACAATCTTACTACTTACACTGAAATTAACCTGGAGCTTTGAAAATGACTGTTTACTATAAAATATAACAAAAATACATACCCATCTAGCAAGGTCTGACAAAATGAAACCATCATAATCCCTACATAGTATCAATATCCATAACCAAGAAGCATGAAAACTTTCTCTCCAGTAGCATGTGGTAATTCTCAAGATTTGAGCAAAGAAAGTTTTTCTACATGCTGTTAAAATTCTAATTATCCATTTCAGTGTGAAGAGTCTGGCAGGTCTCTGCTGTCCTTTTGTCTGAACTAACATTTCAGATACTTAGGTTGTGATCTCACAGCAATCCTGCTTCAAGTTTATCCCTTTCATCTTTCAGATGGCTTTCGGCATCTTTCTCTGTGTCAGGAGCACAGCCATCCATTTCACAAATGAGGCCAAATGATGACATTACTTGGCCTTCCTTTCACAAGCATCCTTCCTATCCATGCCAAAGCAGGGGAGGTTTCAATGGCATCTGAGGCTGACAAATTGTGTCTGTAAATCTTCTCACACAACGAAATCAATACATGCTTTCAAAAAAGCCAAAGGGTCCCCTGTAAACTAATAAGCTGTATATACTGAGGGAAAGGCTTGTTGGAAGAATTTGCTCTGTGACCACCCCCTTATTATACCATAACAGTCTGTTTTCCTGCCCAGATACTGAATCCTAACAGTAGGCTATTTTCTTCAGAAACAAGAAAGGTAATTCTTAGTGTGACCTTGAATAAATTTCTTAAGCCTTATTGCCTTAAGTCTTCATATATGCAAATGAGAATAACAGCACCACACCAGCAGGTTGTAAAATAAAATACTAAACCCACCTCAGGACCTGGCTCCTGGCTCCTAGTCAATGTCTGTATTACTTGCTTTCTTTGTTGCTTTGACAAAGAAGCAACCCGACAAGCAGAAAGTTCAAAGAAAAAGAGCTTTCGTCTTACAGTTCCAGGGGATACAGTCCATCATGGCAGGTAATATATGGCGGCAGGAAGTGGTGGTCATATGTATCCACCACGAGGAAACATAAAAGTGATGAATACTGATACTCAGTTCACTGTCTCCTTTTCACTCAGTCCCAGACCCACCCTGTGAAATTGTTCTGCCTTCATGTAGGGTGAGTCTTCCCACATCACCTAGTCTAATAACCAGATAATCCCTCGCAGATAGACCCAGAGACTTGTTTCCAGGGTGACTCTAAATCTCATGAAGTAGACAATCAAGATTGACCATGGAAATGCCAAATAACTGATAGTTTTGAAGGCGTTCTCGTGTGTTTCCTGTCTTTGTGATAAATACTGTGCATGACCAAAAGCAACTCAGGGAGAAAAGAATGTATTTGGCTTACATTGCCAGGTCACAACCCCTCTAGCTTCTGCTCAGCTATCCTTCAAATACAGCCCAGGACTCCCTGCTTAAGGGCAGCAGCACCCACAGTGGCTAGGCTCTTCCACATAAAGTAGCAATCAAGAAAATGTCCTACAGATGTGTCCACAGGTCAATCCTGTGGCTGCAATTCTTCGGTTGGGGTTCCTTTTCCCCAAGTGTGTCAGGTTGACCACCAAGATGAGCCATCACAGAAGATAACTCCAGAGACAGTGAGAACAGTAACAGTAGAGAAAAGGGCATCACCAGTCACCTCAAAATCAACTGCCTCTCTGACACTCTCCTTTCTGTCTTGCATTATTTAGTCCCTTTCACTCCAGGTTACATCCCTCCCAGCTGGAAACAAAGTGTTTGCTTAGTAAATATGACTGTATGCCATGTGAAGAGAATACAGTGGGTGAGCTACTCACCAGCAAGGCCAGGGATGATCACCTGCCTGTGTCCTATCCAGGTCATCGTGAGTGGACAGAAAGAAAGGAAAGATTGAGGTCAAGCAAAACAGTAGAATAGCTGGTCATCTGGTTCATGCCTCTAATTCCAGCACTCTGAAGCCTAAGGCAGGGGCATTGCAAGCTTGAAGCCAATCTGGGATACATAGTATGACCCTGTCTCCAAAAGAAAATGAAAATGGAAACAATAGGTGGGGGTGTAGCTCTGCAGTAGAGCAGTTACCTGGGATGAAGAGGTTCTGGGTTCTGATCCTCAGCAATGCAAACAGTAGTAATAAAAAGATACAGAACAGTAGAACTAACAGAATGCAGTTCCCAGTCTGCTTGAAGAAATGGTCTTGTGGATGTGAGCCATGGAAACACCACAGTGAGCACCCTGTAGTACCAGCTGAGCCAGGTGGGCTTCTCCGGGGTCTAGGTGGTCAGACTACTAGATACACAGCATGACTAGCTTTGCCCTCCATCCACTTCTTAATTTAGTAGATCGAGAGTATTGGACTACCCATCAGTTAATTGCTTCTTCACTAGAGTTATCCTGCTTATTATACAACAAAACCCACTTGAAAACCAAACCTAAGTATTGGATTTCCACTCGTGGGGGCGGGGGGAGTGTGTGTTGAAGACAAGCAAAATCTAAACTTTTAAAATTTAAGTTCCAAGTTCTCTGTGAGAGAGGCATGGTTTTTACTTACGTATTATTTATATTTTTAGTTTTATTGATTCTTTGTGGTTTTCACATCATGCATTCTGACCCCACTTATCTCCCCATCTCCTCAAATCTGCCCCTTTACCCTTGCAACATCTCCCCCAAATAAAAACCAAGTTAAAAAAAAAAACTCAAAACCAAACAAAATAAAGAAAAACCAAAACAAAAATGAAGAAGGTGCTTGTCATGAAAGCTGTAGACATGGGTACCGATGATTTTGCATGGCTTTCTGTCTGAGCAGTTAATATAGGGACCAGTCTGGGTGAGGAAAAACTACACAAGATTGCCTCATGGAAGTCACGGCACAGATCCACACCCCCTCTCATTCTAGAGAGCTGTGCTCATTGTGAAAGTCTCTTCATTTCTCCAGGAGGGGTTTCATGAAAATGAGAATTGTAAAATTAAAGAACTTTATCATGTATTATTTTGTCCATGCACATCTTAAAATCTTTATACAAAACTCTCATATTTTTTAAATGCCGGCATATACCCAGGTAGTTGGAAAAGCCCCCCACCAATTACCCTCAAGTCCTGCAGCTAGGTAACTACTTGTTAGAGTCTGTATGTATTTATATGGATGTGCCCAGGACATGAATGTCAGTAAAAACACGAGTCTACTAGAACAGAACTAGTGCAATTGGCTTGGTTACTTCTAATACTGTTTCCTGAATAAATAAGCCTATTTCATCCTTCTTAAATACTATATAAGAGCACACTATACGGTGGTTCTCAACCTGTGGGTCCCAAACCCATTGGAACTGAACCGTTTCTCCATTTTGTGTAATTCATTTGAGAGTTGTGCTGAACTTATGTCAACCTGCCTGAGGATACACGTATATTGTCCATAGTGATAATCGCTGGTAGTAAATATTTAATGAACGCAATTCTGAAGTCCGTTAGAGTAGGTCAAATTTTGTAAATCTGTGTGAGAAAGAGAGAGTCAAGTGAGAAGGGAAAAATGGAAATAAAGGAGGGCAGGACAAGGAAAGGTAAACCGAGCAGTGGATGTGCTTGTGGGAATATATAGTTTGCTGAACATTTGAGCATCTTTATTCTTTAGATGGGCACAAGTGACAGGAACCATTAGGAAGCTCTCACCAGACAGAGACGTGGCAGAACGTGCCGAATCGCCCTCACAGCGGCCACAGAGCTCTTTGTACTGTCAGCAAGGGCGTTGAGGTGGGTGAGTGGAAGTGGCTGGGAAAAATGATACTTTTTATTACAGATACACAGGTCATTCATGAGATGTAAAGAGGAGTGTTCCTGGGGGGATGTTCTGCTCACTCCAAGAGTTTTCTTTTTAATCGATTCAGTGTAAAAAGTCAACTTCTACTTTCATACTTGTAGAACTCCTGTTGAGGCCTGTGGTGGTCTGGATGAGAACAGCCCTCCTAAGTCGTATGTTTGAATGCATATGGCTCAGGATGTAAAGCTCTCAGCTACGACTTCAGGGCCTTGCTTCTCTGTTTCCCATCATGATGGTCATGGACTAACCCTCTAAAACTGGAAGCAAGCCCCAAATTAAATTAAATGCTTTCTTTTGTAAGGGAAAAAAAAATGTACACTATACCAGTGGTTCTCAATCTGTGGGTTGTGACCCCTTTGGGGAAATCAAATGACCCTTTCACAGGGGTTGCCTAAGACCATCAGAAAACTCAGATATTTACATTATGATTCATAACAACAGCAAAACCACAGTTACAAAGTAGCAACGAAAATAGTTTTATGGTTGAGGGGGGGGGTCACCAGCACATGAGGAACTGTATTAAAGGATCACAGCATCAGGAAGGTTGAGAACCGCTGCTCCATAGTATGGTTTCTTGTAACTTTCCATGTATAGTTAGTTTCAAATTTTGATTTTTGTCAGCTCACAAAAAATAGGGCAGTAGTGAGGGTTCTTTGACAAATACATTGCATGTTTAGATTCAAATGCCTCTTGATAGTGTATATAAGAGAATGCTTTGAAGAAATTAGCTCCCCCCCAGATTATATTTTTCCCACATAAATGATTCTAAACTAGATTTTTCTGTGTCTCTCTCTCTGCTGTTTCTCTCTCTCTCTCTCTCTCTCTCTCTCTCTCTCTCTCTCTCTCTCTCTCACACACACA